TTTCCTGCCCCAATCCAGTTTTACAGAATCTTAAATCTGCAGGGGTAGGTTTAGTCCTTGGATCTAAAATAACAGAAAACCTATATTCTAAACTTGAAAACTTGGTTATTGAATAATTAATTCATACTTATAGTGCTTATTATATGTTGGGTACTGTAGGAAGCATTTTACATTACTTGTTTCATTTTTATAATAATGAGCAATCTGAGGTACAGAGAAAGTAATGGAATTGCTGAAGGTAACACAGATAGAAAACAGTAGAGCCAAGATACAATCCCAGTTCTGGTAGGCTCTAGAGCCAAAATTGAAGCAAGAAACTAAACATATGGAAAAGGCTAGATTTGAGAATACAGCATTTATGGTTAAATGGAAGGAGCACTGATCTTCAATAATATATTAGAAATATTTTTTAAATCATGAAAATATTTGCTCTTTACTCCCATGTTAAATTTTGTACCTTTTTTCAAATATTAGAGTTCGATTTAAATAAGGATAAATCCCATTTTATCAATATTGTCAAACATTAAAATCTAGTTTTCTTTCAGCAAATGTAAGGAATTTCCAGAACAAAGGGTACTGTTGGAATGATGTTATCATCTCTATCCAGAATGGTTGCTTTATTTCTAGTTGCTCAGGACTCTATTTTTAGTTTATCAAAGGCTCCAGAGTGTAAATTATTTGAACATTAATAGATTCAACTTGTGTGTGGAAAGATTTCCTTTTAACATGCATTTGGTAGGATTTGTAAAACCATCTTGAAATTACGTTATTTTGTTTTTCTGATCTCTGGCATAGAGGTATTCAGATACTTTGAAAGACATAAAGTTTATATTGCTGATTATTTAAAGTATCACTTCAGAATTTTCAGTAAATGGCAAAGATGCATTCTTTTTTCTTTAATTTACTCTTTTAATTTTTAAAATTGTATTGATTTTGGGGGGGAGGGCAAGAGAGAGAGAGAGAAACAGTAATTTGTTGTCCCACTTATTTATGCTTTCCCTGGTTGATTATTCTATGTGCCCTCACCAAGGATCAAACCCACAACCTTGGTGTATTAGGATGACACTCTAACCTACTCAGCTGCCTGGCCAGGGCCCAGAAAATAATACATTCTAATACAGTTATGGTACCAGTCTGAATCTTGAAAATAAAGCCTTGTACTTGAATATAAATCCCAATGAAATATATCTTAATTTTTCACCTTTAGATGTGGAACCACTTTTATGTAGGTGATTATCCATAGAATAAAGAGATTAATTTCCTATAATAGTATAAATAATATTGGAAAGGGGGGAGGAGGTGACTGCTCATGTTTCCTTTTGAAGTTTGTCAGAGCAAAACTGAAGTTTCTGGAGAGCAGGCATGGCAGAGCCAAGGATGCGCGGTTTTATTTTAAGCTTTCAGTGGTGGTGTGTTTCATTCAGCCAGTGACAGTGAGAATAAATGAGTATGTGAAGACTGGTATGTTTTGTCTGCTGTCGTAATACCCTATACAGTTGAATCTGTCTAACCAGCCAATTATTTTCTTATTGTCTGAAACTAAAGAGCATTATGTTTTCTGACAATGTAGAAATTTCTGTGCAATTAAAGTACATATTGTCAATGAAGTGAAAGTAATAAATTATAAAAGATTGCTTGGTTTCAGCTATATTAATGAATTCCTCCCCAATAAAAGTAAAATCTAGATAATTTATAGTTTTTTTATAAAATAGTTAACGTACCATTAAAATACTAAAAGCTGAACCTTGACGGTTTTTACTAAATTTACACCTGATACATAAGTAGTGGCAGCCCACTGAGCCATTCTCCTTGTGGTGGCCAGCCTCCAAGGTGGCCCCAGTGATCCCACCTCCTGACAGCCACACCTCTATGTAGTCCCCTCTCAGTGACTGGGGTCGGTCTGTGTGCCCAGAAGAGCACATCAGAAGTGATGGGATGTCACGTCGACATGACCGTACATGACGCTGGGGTGCCCATTTTGGAGTGTCGCTGTCTCTTGCATCACTTGCTGTGTGGAAAACCAGCACATGCGGGAAACAGAGGCCTACAGCAGCCTGAGTCAGCCTGGAAACGTGCCCACCAGCCCTAGTTTACCTTCCGACGCCGACAGCTGAACTGCAACCTCAGGAGACACTGAGCCAGAACCACCCTGCCGGCCCCTCCCAGATTCCTGACCTTCAGAAACTATGAGATAAAAAAAGTTTACTGTTGAATCTGCTAAATTTGGGGGTAATTTGTTACGCAGGAGTGGATAACCAACATGTACCTCCAGTAAAGCTGTTCTTTCATTCTTCAAATCTTAACAGCTATTTTTGGTTATTGTTGTTGTTGCTATTTGCGCCATTAACCTGTCATCCGTACAACTCACTTGACTGAGGCATTAAGTTAGTTGAAAAATATCATATTCTGTCTCATTTTCCAGTTCAGCCTTTGGTATAATAAATACAGACCTTGAATTCACTTTGCCTATTAGAATGAATTTAAATGAACTGTTTTGTGACAAGAAGCCCTTTTTAGTTTATTCCACAGATTCTTTTCATTTATGTGCAAAGCCACCAATTTTGTACAACTTGTAATTACTATGCAAGTGATTATGGAATTACTGTGAAGTACTTCAAGAGAAAACAGACAGCTTAACGCTGGCTCTCAGAAGTCTGAGACCTCACCAAACAGGCTCCTTGTCCATTGCTCCTAACTCAGTGATGCTTATTAATTATACGGGGTAATAACAGTGTGGGTTTTAAAAAGTCATATTTTTAAGGATTAGTTAACTATGCACTCAAACCTGAGAGAAGGTTTCTCAGCAGCTCTGCTGTCAAGGTCGCAAATTGCACCCCAGCGCCTGCTCTGTCACCCCCCCTTCTCCATGGTGTCCTGAAAAAGAAAAGGCCATGAAAACAATCAGGTTTGCAGGGTTTTTTTTCTTCTTTTGGGGGTTTCCTTAATAAACCAGTTTCAGGACTCAAAACCATTCCTTTACCATTGCCAAGCACACAGGACTGGTAACCATGAATAAAGTGTCCAAGCATTTTTCTAACCATGGATTTGCCTTAGGACATTAATAGCTATAAATAGATGCTTTCATTGAATCCTGAGTTATCAATCTCATGTTTTTATACTTGAACATAAAGAAGTTCTTCGTGAAAGGATAACATTGATGAGTTCCATGTTGTTTTAACACAACTGCTTTTTGAAATGTAACTGAAAACTAGCTTTTTTGTTTTGCTCCCACTGTGATCTTTAAATGTAATAATAACATATGAATATAAATAGACAACTCAGGAATTGGCCTTATCTTCATTCTAAATGGACTAGAGCTTATTTTGATATTTTACCGAAAATTTCATTTTTAATTTGGAGCTGAAAAAAATGGAATTCTATCTTGGAATCCTATTTTCAATGCCTTCTGCCTTTTAATTCACTTGCACGCGCGCGCGCGCACACACACACACACACACACACAAACCAAGGTAAGGAAAATGGTTATACATTAAGTTATAAGTAACTTAAAGGAACAAATAAATTTCCCTTTTTACATTTCCAGTATACAAATATTTCCAGATACTACAATAATGCCATCTTTTTATCAAGACAAAAGTAAAACCCAGTGCTTCTAACTCTGCATTCAACATTAGCCAACTGATACCAACACAAATTAATAGCATAGGCTGTGATTCCTGGGTCTTGAACTTGGACAGTTTAATGAAAAAGGTGTCAAATTTTCAGCACTGAAGCATACTTCTGTGTTAAACAGTCCCCATGCTTTATTTAGAGTTGTTTGTTTGTTTGTTTTAAGCATAGTCATTGAATTGTGAATTTCCCTTTTCAAACGGGTTCCTATTTGTGGATGGTTGTTATAAGGAAAATATAGCTCCTGATGAAATAATTTTTAATTGATAAATGGCAGTCATTTTCTTAACTAGATTTTATTTGAAATTTTAAATCGTATGGTACTTCTCTGGGGTTTTTCAGAAAGCTTTCTCAATGTTGTATTAATACCTTATTTTGTAAAAGATCTCAGGAAGCTTTTAAAGTCTGTGCAGTAAAGTAATTGCTGCACATAGTATATGGTGCTCATACGAAGTAGTACTTCAGGTCCTTCCTAGCAGAGATAAAAGAAGCAGGAATCCTAAGAATACTTCCCACCCCCTTCCTGATCCTTTGACCAGACTCTAAGCACTAGCCCTCATTCCCTGCCGACCCTGTCTCTCACCCTCAGCGCTCACCCCCTGAAGGGGACAGATAGGAGAATGGAAGATAACCGCCCACACAGAGGCTAGAAGGGGGAGGGGCTTGGCAGCAGCTAGAAGGGATTTGTCTGCACCTCTATTTGTAAGGGCTCCTGCCCTCTTGACCCACCAACTGAATGAAGTTCCGTACATACAAAGCACAGATAGTCCTAGATCATAATGTGAAAATATTTTTAGCATCCTTTACTTATCTACAGCCTCCTTGTATAGGTCTCCAAATATGTAAACTCACAAAATTGTTAATGCTTGGCGAATTTTAGAACTTCAAATGCTATACCTGAGAAAGAAAAGATCAGATATACCTGTTGGTCATAGAGCATCAAAAGCAGAGACAGTGAGCATGGTAGTTAAGGGACACAGGCTTCAGAGCTAGGCTGCCTGGGTTGAAATCCCAATCTGACCACTTGCCAGCTAGATAACCTGGAACTAGTTACCTGACCTCTCTGTAATAGTTTTCTCTGCTGCAAAATGGGGGTGATAGCACTACCTTATAGCGTTGTAAAATTTAAATATGTTAATATAAGTGCTTAGAACAATGTCTAATATGTAGTTAGCTCTATGTATTTGTGGTTGGTACTATTACGCTGTGTGCCCATCCTGATGTCGTTTCTACATTCAGATGGTCCCACTGGATTTGTAGTCAACAGGTGACATTCATACTCACCCACCACCTTTAATGTATAACTATTAGCAAATCCCCCTCCTGAGTAGTTTTAAAAAGCAAAATACAATTTTTTCTCTCTTTCCCAGGCCCAACACAGAGATACTTTCATTGAAGAACGCTATGGAAAATATAACATCAGCGATCCTTTAATGGCTCTGCAGAGAGACTTTGAAACCCTGAAGGAGAAGAACGATGGCGAAAAGCAGCCAGTCTGCACAAACCCACTCTCGATTCTCAAGGTGGTGATGAAGCAGTGTAAGAACATGCAGGAGCGCATGCTGTCCCAGCTGGCCGCAGCCGAGAGCAGGCACCGAAAGGTGGGCGCCCGGGGGCGTGGGCTGCGAAAGCTCTTAGAGAGGCTTTATAAATAATGCCTGATATTTCTTGTCAGCTGCCAGTTTTCACAGTAGTTCAATAATCGGAGGTCCCACAGGTACCCAAAAGACCCTTAGCTCACCGAAGAGCCAGGAGGTCGGAAAGAAAACACAGGTCATGGCAAGTGTTAAATTTAGGGAGTGTGCCCGACACGTTCAAGACAGCATTCCTGCTTGATATGACACTTCAGACACTTGGGATGTTTTTTCAGCTCTCAATCTTTCAAACTTTGGCAACAGACTGGGATTTGACCAAGCTTGTAACTGAAAGGAGTCGTCTCTGTTTGCTTGCTTAAGTGATAAATAGAAAGATTAACAGGTATTTGGGGAATGAGAGAGAGAGAGGGAGAAAATTTACCAGACTATAAACATGCAAGCCAGCAGATTATTTTCATTTATTTCTAGTTTTGAGTTTCATTGCATTTTACTTCATGAAACCGTACACAAACAGTCCCTAGGTTGTTTACCTTAAAACTGTCTACCCTACTAGGAAAGTGTCTCTCTCTCTCTCTCCTCTCTCTCTCTCTCTCTCTCCTCTCTCTCTCTCTCTCTCTCCCCCTCTCCCTCTCCCTCTCCCTCTCTCTCTCTCCCTCCCTCCCTCCCTCCCTCCCTCCCCAGGTCTTACAGCCCTTAGGAAAGCAAACCTGGGCTTTCCTCATCTCATTGGAATTCTAGGGCTTATGATTTTATTCCCAGTCTTGTCATTTACTACTCAAATTTGGCCTATAAAACATGCTTGGCTAGAATATGCATTTTTTAAAAACTATTGGTTTAGATTTATACTAACAAGCAGGGACATTGGCACAATTAGTAGGAAGCAACTTATTCTGAAAAATTGGGTTAGCAGCTGCAGTTTAAAGGACCTTCATTTACCTTTCTGGTTACCTGCGCGAGAGCCATCTGGCAGATCGCTTAGGCTTCCGTTCTGCCCTTGGTTTCTCTGTCCCTTCACAGAGTCCAAATGAAAGACCAGAGTTCAGGTTCTTAACTAGGGATGGGCTTCAGATGTTCCATGATCCCCCTAAAATACACAGAATGCCAAAAGCTTATGCATTTGTATAGAAAATGAAAACTTCTCCTATGTCTTTAATTGAATTCTGGGTCTCAGAGTTGTCCAAGACCCAGAAACTTCAACCTCTGGGCCACTGAAGTAACCTGAAGACATTTGTGCCCTTGTCTGAAGGGCGTCAGTGGGTTTGCGTTAGTTGCTTCCATGTGGGGGGAGGATTTTTACATAAACCTCTTAAGAAAATCTTCACAACTCCCTTCCTTGGTAGGCAGGCCTTTTCCCCACTTCACACAGAAAGTAACTGAGCTGTGCTGGAGGGCTGGCTGGCTGCGGTGCCCACGGAAGGGGTAGCTTTGGGGTCATTTATGGCTCTGGGTGATTGGGGAAAGGACAAAGTTAGAAATAATTCAAAATCCCTTAAAACTGTACTTCAACATAAGATTCTTTGAATGTTATTCTTTGAATGTTAACTATTTTAAACCGACCGCCTATGTAATCTGAAGTGTTATATCAAAGTAGAACACTGACTTTGTTAGAAATCTAGTGTCAATAGGCTTACAATTAGGTGCTTATGCTTCCAGTTTGCTCAAAGGAGTCCAGCTTATGCCTGAGCCTTGGCATGGTCATTAACCATGTTCTCTCAGAATTACAAAAAATAGGGTGCCCTAATCCACCTCTTCCCCTTCCTGCCCCTCAATATTCAACCATTTGTTTGGATAGATAACTTCCATATTTCTAAATAATAAACAACTCTCTTGCTTGATCAATTTTAGACACGTGACTACGTTCTTTCACTATAGACATGGATTTTGTTATCTTGTGCCCCACCTTACTTTTCTCTCCTCCCGTACCATCTCCCCAATACAAACATAACCCCCTTTCTTCACCCCCGTGCTCCTTCGTATCTGCTCTTCCCAAGTCCTGAGCCTGTCTTTTCTGTGTCTTCAGAGGGTCCATCTCTGGCTTATGCCTGGGCAGTAGATCCCTGGCTGCTAATACTCTGTGAATAAGAATGAAGTTAGGGGCCCTGGCCAGTGAGGCTCAGTTGGTGTGGAGTGTCATCCCATAACAAAGGAGAGGTTCAATTCCCGGTCAGGACGCATACAAGAGGCAACAGATCAATCTTTCTCTCTCCCTCCCTTCCCCTCTCTCTAAAATCAATAAGCATGTCCTTGGGTGAGGATTGAAAAGAAAAAAGAGTAAAGTTGAGGAGACAAATAACTCCTCTGAAAAAGACAGACTCAGAGCCCAGCCGCTGGCCCTCTGTCCCACAGAGCACCTCCCTCCTGCAGTGCCCGCCACCTCCAGTCTCTGAATCTCTCTGGGGCCATGAAGGGCCATGAAGGGGGAAGCTTCTGCCCCCATACCAAAGGAGTCCCACTCCTTCAGCCTCTGTCTTTCTTCAAAATGTTATTTAAATTCCTTGTCTGCCGAAATCTCTCTCTTTGCCTTTGTGGGTTTTTATTCTTTTCATTGCATTTCTATAATTTCTGAGGGCTCAGGGAAGGGAGATGATCCACCATCATTAGCCAAAAGCTTGTCTTTCTGTTTAATCGAAAAATTAGATTTTTTTAACTGAAAGGAAGTACACCGAAATGTTTTCATTTTTTGTGTTTAAAGGGGAGTTTCACGTCCCAAAAAACATTCTCCATTTGCAAAGACGTAGCAAGGAGGAGCTGTGAGACACAGCCTTCCTTGTGTCAGCTCCGCCCCGTGGCCTGCCCCGACCCGACCCTGCGGCAGCAGGAGCAGCTGCTACTGCGACACCCGTGGCCCTTCGAATATTGCTCAGCTAGTTGTAGGCAGGAAGACGTGGCGAATGTCCCTTTCAGTTTGTGTTCTTAAAATTGGGCTTAATCCTTGGCACCAGGAGAAGTGGAGTGGGTAGGCAGGTTAATTAAAAGACCATGTGAAAAATTTCTACTTAAGATCTCAATAATTGAGGCTTTTTACATGTAGGGTGAAGTCAAGAGAGCCTTTTCACCTCTTCTCTAATGATATACAAAAATGCATGCATGTTATTAACAAAGCAAGGCACAGTTAGGAAGTCACCCATTTGAAACATTGAGTTTCACGCCCCTTCCTCCGTGCCTCCAGTGATTTGTGCGTTTGAGGAGAGAACCTCAGCGTTGGGCTTTCCATGGCCCTGCCTTGCTTCATTGCCCATACCTGCCCTGTCCCCGAGTACCGCCACGCTGCCTTTCTGCTGGACCCTCTGTTAATTCCCTGAAGCCTTCTCAGCCTGTGCAGCTAGTCAGCGGCCCTCTGCTGTTCACGTTTACTCAGTAAACGTGTGTGCCTCAGTAAAGCGCCGCCTTCCTGTGATCAGGTGCACGGCTTGCCTGTCTCTCACCCCCCGAAACAGCATGCTCCTTGTTGGCCCTGACGAGGATACCTTATCTTTCTGACTCTGGAACTGTCTTAGGTGCTTAATTAGATAGGTTTTTAGTATTTAATTTTATTATAACTGTGATTCCTTGATACTTGGAAATGATTTTATTTTTTTTTAATTCTCTAAAGGTGATCCTAGACCTTGAGGAAGAAAGGCAAAGGCATGCCCAGGACACGGCCGAAGGAGATGATGTCACCTACATGCTGGAGAAGGAGAGAGAGCGTCTGACTCAACAGGTAATTAAGGTGGAGGGTTCGCAGCCGCATTTGCCAAGAATAGCATTTCTCAGAGACTGCCCTACAGGATATACATTGGTGTTGCTCAAGAAAAGGGCTTTACAGTCAAATAAGTCTGGAAGTTACTGAATTAAATGAAGTTAAGCAGGTTTCTGACTTCCATTTCTTAGACCCTTTAGTGTGCAGAAGCACATCGTGAGTCTTCAAGAGAAAGGTAAGGTATTCTGTGATTAGCAGATCTGTGTTTTCATAAAGTCTTTTTTTAACATGGATCACCCACTGTGGGACTATTGTTCCATAGAATCCACTCAGACCTTTTTTGACTTAGGATTCCCAGTAAGAAATACATTTAACAACCTAGTTATATACACAGAGGCCTGAAACAAAACTATCATGAAATCATACATAATCCTTACTACTTACAATACACATTGATGTTTTATCTCCTATTTTATCTTTTAAAAGTTCCGGTCATGCCCTGGCTAGGTAGCTCCGTTGGTTGGAGTGTCAACCCGTATACCTAAAGGTTGGGAGTTCGATTCCCAGTCAGGGCACATACCTCGGTTTCAGGTTCAGTCCCCAATCGGAGCGCCTACTGGAGGCCCGTGAAACAACCGATCGAAGTTTCTCACATTGATGTTTCTGTCTCTACCCCCACCCTTCCTCTCTCTCTCTCTAAAATCAGTAAGCATATCCTTGTTCTGGTCATGACTCACTAAATTGGTTTCCCCGTCCATTAATGGATCTCACAGTTTGAAAAATACTGACTAAAAGGGTTCCTTCAACCCTTCCCTTTTAATGGGATTGGGATGATGATTAAAACAGACTGCACTTGTGTAAAAAGTATGATTTAAATGGAACTACTTATGTTTGTTTTTAACACCAGAAAGAATTGTTAGTCAAGCTTTAAAGGCTTTGTTTTCAGCAGCATTCATCACAAAATCTGGCTCATATGGCTTTCTGTTTTCTGTTTTGATTGCTTCTAATCCTCTGAAATTGCCACACCAAAAACACAGTGATGGTTCGTATTCCCACTTAATAACCCTGAGACTTTATACGAACTAGAGGTGCCTCCTGAATCATCAAAGAAAGATTAAGTTATAATGTATATGACCCTGGCCAGTGTGACTCAGTTGGTTGGAGCATCGTCTTGTAACCAAAAGGTTGCAGGTTCAATTCCCAGTCAGGGCACATACCTAGGTTGCAGATTTGATTCCCCACCTGGGCATGGGTGCTTGTGACCCATGGTCCAGGTGTACACGGTCCCTAGTCAGGACATGTATGGGAGGCAACCAGTCGATGCCTCTCTCTTGCATTGGTGTTACTCTCTCTCCCTTCTTCTCTAAAAGCAGTAAAAAAATGTCCTTAGGTGAAGATTAAAAAAATTATAATGTGTATATTTTTGTGGTAGGTGTCCTGACACTTCAGAAATACCTGGTATAAGCACACGACACGTATGTCACCTTGCGTGCCAAGAACAGCTAGCCAGAGCACTCTCTTTATAATTGTTTTTCAGTGTATCTCTTTGTTTTCTAACTCTAACTGAGATATGTGGTGGCATTTTTTTCCTAGTTGGAATTTGAAAAGTCCCAGGTGAAAAAGTTTGAAAAGGAGCAGAAGAAGCTGTGCAGTCAGCTGGAAGAGGAGCGTGCCCGCCACAAGCAGCTCTCATCCATGCTGGTGCTCGAGTGCAAGAAAGCCAGCAGCAAAGCCGCCGAGGAGGGGCACCGGGCCGGGGAGCTGAGCCTGCAGCTGCAGCAGGAACGGGGCCGCATCAGTGTGCTGGAGGAGGAGCTGGCAGCTGAGAGGAAGCGAGGCTTGCAGACTGAAGCCCAGGTGGAGAAGCAGTTGTCTGAGTTTGACATCGAAAGAGAACAACTGAGAGCAAAACTGAACCGAGAAGAGAACCGGACCAAAACTCTGAAAGAAGAAATGGAAAGCTTGAAGAAGATTGTGAAGGATCTAGAAGCTTCTCACCAGCGTAGCAATTCTAATGAGCAATCAAAGAAACCAGTAACCACATCTAAAGGCACAGTGACCGAGCCTCCCAGGCTAGTGTCTGTATTCTGCCAAACGGAGAGTTTTCAGGCAGAAAGAACCCATGGGAGCAATGCAGCCAAGGCGACAGTCACTGGGCTGCCTGGTCCCACCACTCCTCCTTACTGTTATGCAAAAACCAATGGCCATTTTGACCCAGAGATGCAAACTACCAAGGAGCCGATCATAGGCAGCAGTGTAGAAAACCAAGTGCCTCCACGAGAGAAATCTGTGGGATTGGCCCAGGAGAAAGCAGTGGAGAATGGTGGGTGTCCTGCGGGAACCGAGAGTCCAGTCCCAATGCCGAGCCAGCTCCCCTCCAGTGGGAGCTCACTGTCTCCCAGCAGCACGGCGTCCTCCTCTCTCACATCCTCTCCTTGCTCGTCACCGGTACTAACCAAGCGCCTCTTGGGGTCCTCAGCCAGCAGCCCTGGCTACCAGTCATCCTACCAAGTAGGGATCAACCAGCGGTTCCATGCAGCTCGGCACAAATTTCAGTCCCAAGCAGATCAGGACCAGCAAGCCAGTGGTCTGCAGAGTCCTCCATCCAGGGATCTGTCCCCCACCCTCCTAGACAACTCTGCCGCCAAGCAGCTGGCCCGCAACACAGTCACTCAGGTGCTCTCCAGGTTCACCAGCCAGCAAGGGCCCGTCAAGCCCGTTTCTCCCAACAGCTCCCCCTTTGGCACAGACTATCGGAATCTGGCCAGTGCTGCCAACCCGAGAAGTGACACCAGCCACTCACCGACTCCAGGGAAAGTGTCCAGTCCTCTGAGTCCCCTGTCTCCAGGAGTCAAGTCCCCTACCATCCCCAGAGCTGAGCGAGGAAACCCTCCACCCATCCCACCCAAAAAGCCTGGCCTCACTCCTTCTCCATCCACAACCGCTCCCCTGACCAAGACTCATGCCCAGGCCACCACTTTGGCTGGCACAGAAGACCTGGCGAGCAGCTGCTCTTCAAATGCTGTCGTAGCCAATGGCAAGGACGTTGAGATACTTCTGCCCACCAGCAGCTAGTCCCTCGGAGGGGGCTCCACATTTGACATTCCGTCAGATTTCACCCAAGAGCTCAGAGTCAAACCGTTGAGTCAGATCATGTTATTTATTTTGATAGTAGCTGAAACCATCTGTATAATACATTTACTATATTTCACCTTTTTGTATTTTTTTTAAGTAGAAACTGAGTAGTTTGGATTTTTATGATTCATCTCTTTGTACTATAAAACTTCGAAGGGCACCTCAAAGATGTCTCAAGCTCAGCAGTCACCATCGTATGGTGGTGGGAGAAGGTAATTGAGGACCAGGTGGTGACCTGCTGTCTATTTCGGGACTAGAATCACTTGACACTCATTTTGAAATATGCAGAAGTGGTTCATGCAGATTTTTATTCCAGATGAACATGCTTTAAAAGTGCCTGAAATAAGACTGCCATATGAATGTGATTCTACAGCAAAAACACAAAAAGGCTCGTTTAATTGCAGGAAATGAGATCCTCTGTGAATTCTGAATGTTAAAAACAAACACTGCTTTTAATTCTCTTTTACTATTTTTATTACCACCAGCTGTATAGGTAGAGTATCCTGAAGGTGGGTGTGAACTCACCACAGATCGGAGCTTTTTAGAGCCTGTGAGAAGCCCTCCTGAGCATTCAGTAGTTGGGGTGCTGATTTTCTTGTACTTTTCAAAAATTAAGTCACTCCCAGGTTCCTGCATAAATTCTTGAATAGAAGAAGTCACATCTACAGTCAAAAAATGTCTTCAGGCATCTACTGTTGTGTAAGGAACTGATTCCAACTGCTATTACTTGAATAGGAACTGGTTACTCTTGCTTGTATAAAGGTTTTGCAACAGAATGAGATCTCATCTTTATTCTGTAATCAAAAGCAATAACTTAAAAGTCACCCTTTGTAATATTATAACTCAGAATTATATAGGTTTTACCAAATTGTTACACTTATTCTCCAGGCTGGCAGCACCTGGTGTCTCTATGTGTGTAACTTTTATCTAAATGCAAGTATTCATATATAGATACATACCCCTTTATGTGTTTAACATACACACACTTAACACAAATATTAGTGTGATTATATCTTTGGAGTTTGCAATATAGCATAAAGGATGAGTAGAAATGCATGTTAAGATTACCTACCAAAGCATCTTGATGGGTCTGGAACCCAGTCAGTCGAAGGAGCCATCTCCGCAAGGAGATGGGGAAATTCCAAATGCGGTCAGGTCTTCAGTCATAAAAAGGCAAAGCCACACTAACCCCCGTGTCACAGAACCCAACTGGTCACGTAAGTGAGTGGAGCAGGCATTCAGTCCCGTGGTGGAATAGGGCCCGTTTCAAAGGTTCACCACCTGTTCAGCTCCAGCTGCTTGTTGCCATGCAAAAGCTATGTCACTGGCTCCTCAAATTTTCATAAAATCCAAATTTTCATGAGAAACATTCTCAATTTTAAATACTGAAAACTGATTCAAAAAAATTTTAAACACTGCTAGTTAAACACTTCTGCAGCTGATTGTAGCCCCCAGGCTACTAAGTTGCAATCTCTTTTGTTCTAGATATTTACATCATTTCCATCATAGCAAGTTTGTGAGGACAGAAGCCTCCAGACGTTCCAACTTGTAGTACAGTAAACAAAGTCTTTAGACTATAGCGATGGGATTCAAAGTCCCTAGAATCTTAGAGCTGCCTCCCTCTTCCAGACAAGACTGCCCACTGGCCAGCTCTGCCATGTGCTTACACAGCTGTGTCCACAGGGATAGAGGGGCCCTCGGGGCCTCATGTGCTGTCCTGGCCACCGTCTCCCCAGCAGCCCCTGACCTCCTGCTGTCATTTAAGTCTGTTTCTTCTGAAGCCAGTACAAGATGATGGGCAGGTGGTGGAAGTTAATGTATAGCACAGGGGGCGCGTTGGTGTCTCCACAGCTTAAGGTCTGATTAAGGCCAACGCTCAAAACTTAAAAACTACCAATGCCCCGGGGAGTCCTCCAAATGATGAAGGGGGCATCTTAAACCACCTGAAGCTACCATGCACTGAACTTTATTCCCAGGCATAGCCAGATGATGGTGTTGATAAGCTGAACTTTTCTATAGTCCTGGAGTGTTATTACCTCTCTTGCTTAAAATGGTAATCTTAGAAGTTGCATTGTGCTCTTCCTTTGTTTTGACATGATATATAGAGAGAGAGATTATGAGGAAGTTTATTTCTTAGGAAGTGCACTGAATAATGTATTTCTTTTACAGTGTAATATGGGGGTGGGGAAATGAAAAAGAAATGTGTATTTTTGCTAGTTGCCTATCTTCTGAGATAAATAAGCACAATACTGCAATGGATCCAATAATCCAGTTAGGTATTATAGATTAGTATTTAAGTTTGCTGTAGATTGTGTGTGCTAAGTAAAAGTTCCATGATTCACAATTTTGGTGTTTAACCCATGTTGCAAAAGCTATGTTACTGGTCAACAGACTATATATAATGATGTGCAACATATAACACAAGCATTAACTAGTCATTAACATTTGTAAAGCAAATGCACCATGCAGAAGTCTTCACCCATTTTTATAGCAGACATTAAAACAAGTTAAATCATCCTGTCTGGGGGAAAAATAGTCTTGTTTGTACAAAGCGAAGAATGTAGCCCCGCAGGCCTGTTTTGCTTGGGAAGAAGCAAGTGGGGTAGAGGGAGCGTTCGTTCACGGCTTTAAAAAACCAAGTGAAGTCAGTGCCCCATCCAGGTTAGACCCCAAAGGACCTGGGACCCTGGTTTTCTTTAGAATCTTAGAGCTGGCAGAAGCCTTCACAATAAATATCTAAAAATTTTAAACCGTCGGGGGTTTTGGACCTTTTGAGAATCTAAGAAAGGACAGACTCTATCCCAGGAAAAATGGATATGCGTATATGCCCATTTGGTTGATGGCTTCACAGAATCCAAAGACCCTGAAGCCACCCAGGATTCATGCACCCTAACTTCAGAATGCCTGATCTTGCTTGTCCTGCCTCTCGTTTTTCCAGTGACTCATGCATCCCTTGTCTCCTAGTCCAGTGCTGTTGCTGCTACATTGTTAGTAAATGCAAATTGTAGCCAGACAAAAACTCTTGAAAATCCTTTGATGTACAAAAAAATGTTCAAACTGTGGGTGCTGATGTATTTAAGTTTCCATCATTTAAGCCAATTAATGATCATTTCAACAACACTGGGCATCCTGTTTCCCGTAACAGCCTGTCAGCAATGCTTCCTGGCCAATGTGCGTGTGAGAGAGAGAGAGAGAGAGAGAGATTTACAAAGAGCACTTCGCCTGCTAAGTACTTAAAAATTTCAAATGTTTTTTGAAACTTTGATGTGTTTTCTTCATCCTCAGGAGTCAGGTAGGCAATGAGCATTGTTCCACAGGACTTGTTTTAATGTAGTTGCTGTACAACTAGTTGAGAAAATTCGAGGACCTGAATCTAGCCATCTGCTCTCATATCATTGGCCAATTCATTGGTAAAAGCAGAGGAAAAGGGACACAAGGGGTAGTGGTTATCAGACTTGCCGGTGTGAAGCCTGCTAAGTATGTGGACTCCTGGGGAGGAGCCCAGGGGCCAGTGATGCAGGTAATCTGATGATCACCTTGGGAGGAATAGTGCTGACAGCCCTCCCTCACCAGTTCATTCACAAGAACGTGTCCTTTGCCTTTAAAAGGCAATGGTATTCAGAGTCTAAAATGTCTACTTGGGTTCTGAGCACTGTGTTAATGCTTTCACGTACATGCTGCCTTCCTAAGCTTCACAAGGGTGCTGTGAGGTATTAACCCCCCTGCGTGGATGAGGTCGTTGAGGATGGGAGACTTGTACAAGGGCCCTTAGTAAGTGACCAGGCCTGGACTGAAGCCCCAGGACTTTGCTCCTCCACTCCCTGGGTTTCACAAATGAGAATGCCCTGCAGCCGACCCGGCCCTTCAGATTCTGATTCAGTAGGTTAAGGTGGGGCTCTAGATGAGGGTCTGGTCTTAGAATGGAGCGGGTTTAAACCCTGCAGCACACCTCGCTGCGCCTCCCGCCCACCCATATCCCCACACCCAGGAGTGGACGATCAGACCTAACCAGGGGGACCATCTGATTTCCCGCAAGCAACACGTTGTTTTACTATTTAAGATGAGACTGAAACCAGGATAGCTGTTACAGAAGAGAAGTTTTAAAGTGTTCCCTGCTTTCAGGTTACTCACAACCTAGTTGGGAGAAGGAAAACGTTAATGCAAAAAATTAAGCCCTGGCTAGCGTGGCTCAGTGGATTGCGTGCCAGTCTGTGAACCAAAGGGTCTCCAGTTCAATTCCCAGTCAGGGCACATGCCTTGGTTGCAAGCCAGGTCCCCACTAGGAGGTGCTTGAGAGGCAACCACACATTGATGTTTTTCACCCTCTCTCTAAGAGAAAAACAAAAAAGTTAACAGACAACTGAATAGCGCCAAGTGGGGTTAAAATGTCGCATGCGGTTGTTGAAGGCAGTCCTGGCAAAAGCACTGTGCTGGGACTGAGGTGACAGAGTATCATGTGGCTCTGTCTACACCACTGAAGTGGTTGGCTCTGAGGAATTACTGGAAGTGCCCCAACAAGATTGGCCTTATCCCTGGAGAGTCATCTACTTAATTTGACAAGAGACCCACTCGCTCGGTGTGGCAGACACCCAGTCTCCCTCCAGGAATGAAGGGTTTCCTTCCCTAGCCATGGGGATACTGACAGTGAACCTCCCTCAGCCAACAGCCCCTTCTACTTGCCCCTACTAGAAGTAGCCCCTACTGACTTAACTGAAATCAACCAGTTTGACCAAGGCCATGGCCGCTTCCATGGACAGACTGGTTGCTCTAGGGGATGAAGACCAGGTCCCTTGTCCCTAATTAAGGGAGCTCTGAAGGGTCACCTCAGCTTCAAAACCCCCTGTAGCTGCACCTCAACTTTCCCTTCCCTTTTTCCCTCCCTCCTTCCCTGTGGATCCCAAGGGTACTTGCTGGTAAACCTGCCCTCAGACTCGACCATACGTTCTGGTCATGGTTAATCTAAAGGAGGTAAGTTATTTGGTGCCAAACTCTCCATCAGCCCTTACATTTCTGTTCCTTCACTTAACACAACTACTAAGAGAGGCAGGTACTCCTACTTGACCCCTACAGAAACAGGCTCACCGAGGCACGGGTCATGGCCCACGGTTCCCCAGCAGAGCAGGGCTGAGGTTCGGTGGCACCACTGGAATTCAGACCATCCCAGGAGCCCTCCAGTCCACTCGTCTTCCACTGGCCCTACTAGAGCCAACACTATGGGAAAATACATGCGGGGAGTTTAGAGTCTTAGCTCTTTGTCAGATTCCTGTGTGAATCCACTGGTTAGCTAGTGGCTTTCAAGACTTGAGGCTCAGGAGGACACTGAGGACACCAAGGACAGGGTTCAGTGGGGAGAAAAGAAGGGTAGCTGGCCATCAAATGTTCGAGCAAGAAGTATGCTGAGAGACCATGCTAGCTCCATCATTACAGGTGAGAAGGAGGCCCAGAAAGGCCAGGTGACTTCTGCAAGCCGCCATGTCTGGCTCCCAGCAGAGCTGGGGCTCAAGAGTCAGTCCAGCTTTGTGGCTTCTGCTCAGCCACCTGCACCCACTGAGCTGACCTGGGATCAGGAATCGCTAGATCAGCCCTGGTTGCTCCCTTGGGCGCTCCTTCCTCTCACCTGATTCTCTGGGCATTGATCTTGTTCACCTGAGCTGCCCCAGATTCCAGACCTTGCCCTCTTTGTCCACTGGCCTAGGGCTGTCCGCGGTTCTTGCAGACACAGAAATCCTGTCCTCCTATCTCTGAACCTGTTTGACAGCTGAGGTGAGGCCGAAGGGGAGGACAGTGGAGCTTCCCTCCCGGGCGGTGCTGCCCTCTGTCAGGCACTGGCGCTGCGAAGCACTTACTCATAAGGCGTTCTTTTGCTCCTCAGGTGTGGACATGAAGTCACTGAAGCCACAAGTGTCTGTCCCCTCCCAAATTGTGACTCTGACCTGCCACACCTGCTGTGTGGGAGAGACACCTCCCCATCCTGGTCACAAACACACAGCACTCCCAAGAAGGGCCTTTTTCACGGTCAAAAAACTCACCCTTCTCCCTTCCCTGCCAAGCCCGACCTCCCACTCCGCTGCTTCCCCAGCCCACCCAACCCCAATCAGCGCCTCCCAGGACTGGGCCTCAGCCTGGTAGGGTGGATTGGGGTGGTGACCATGGCACACAGGCCCCTTCTTCATCCTTAGTGAGTTTTCCCTCCCCTGGATCTTGGTGAGTCAACACCACTGGGCCACACACAAGGCTCCTATTCAGGGCTCACTTTCCTCCTGCACTAACGCGGATCTTGGCATCTCTCTCGCTCGTTTTCTGTGCAGGCCTCATTCTCTCCGTGGGAAAGCTCTGCTCCCTGCCCTGTGCCTCCGAGCTCGCCTGCCCCCGCTCCCGCCCCCCCCTCCCGCCCCCGCACACACACACCCGCATTCCTCATCCATACCTTCCGGGAGTTTGCCGTCCCAGCTGGACACGAACATAAAGGAGTTTGCACAAAATAGAAATGTTACACTGTCAAACCCTCATCCCTGTATTTTCACCAGAGTGTGTTGCCGCCGGCTCTGCAGGCCCAATGCTATGCTGCGAGGGACACGCATCCATACACACACTTGCTGTGCCTGCCCGTTCCTTCAGTGTGTGTGTGTGAAGCACTGACCGTGTATCAAGACTGCCAAGGGCTAGAATTTACACTTCAAGGGGGAACAAGTGTGACAGATGTGACATCTCAGGGCAGTGCTGGGCAGCATGCAGCAGGTGCCCAAATGGGTGATAGGGCCCCCAAAGTGCCTAAGAAGTTCAGCAGAGCAAGGAAATCTGTGGGTCTAGAGACCCCGATTTAAATGAACAGTAGAAAGGATACTGATTTGTGTGGATGAGGACAAGGGGATGAAAAAACAGGACCGGGACAAGCAAAAAAAGTTGACCTCGGGCAAGTCAGCCTCTGCTAGCCTCCCTTTCAGCGCCAGGATCATGAAGACAGGAGATTATTTGCTGCCTTTGGGGAAAGGCATTGGGGGAGAGGGCTGCGGGTCCAAGAGGAAGCCGTGTGCTCCCTTCTAACCAAAGCTGAGTGGCTTGCGCCCCCTGGTGTTTCTGCTGCTGTGATTCTCTGCACCAAGGCCTGGCCGCACCTCCGTCTTCCTGAGGCAGGACCCACTTCGGAGACGCTCGTGTGAGAGGAGATGCGTCCCCTCCCCGTGTCAATGCTTGGCCATCACCCTGGCGGCGAAGGGTCGACCACAGCCGCAGTCCCTGACTCAGACACAGATGGAAGCCCAAAGCAGTGACAGGGAGATGACAGCAACAACCGCTCACTGTGAGCCTTAAGTGAGCAAATAAACTTCAGAGTAGCTGGGGCCTAAGCAAGCACCCGGCAACGACAGCCAATACTATTATATGGCTCCCAGAAGAGGGACTGACACAGAGAGGGTGCTTGATAACTATTCGTTAACTGGAGTCAGGAGGAGTCTATCAGCATTTATTCGTTTATTCCTTTGCCCATTTAATGATGCTTCAAAAATGCCTATACTGTCTCTCCTGTTTAAAAAACACAAACAAGCAAATAAAAAACCTTAGTGAGTCAA